CCCCCCCCCCATGTTCCAGACCCTGTGACATATGCTGAGGGTACAGTCACAAGAGGGACAGACATCATGCCTTGGAATATATAGCCTAAAAAGTAGCAGAGATAATTTCATGGAAGAAACCTGAAGACTTGAAGCTTCAAGGCATTTGTCCAAAGAATAGGGACCGACCTACTTTTCTGGGGCAAGGTCCATGTTTTACTTGGGATCCCCTTAGACTGAGTGTATGATTTAGCAATGTATGTGGTGATATCTGACCCATATTGAGACTCCTTGGGAGTGGTGTTTCTTTTTGGGGTCTAGTTTCCAGAATAACAGCTGTAGAGGCATAAGGAAGTGCAAGGAGGGTCTGATTTGGCCATAAGGAGGCACAACTCCAATTGTGCTACTTTCCTTCCTGCATGTACTAATGATCACCCAGTCTAAGAAAAATGATAAAATAACAGAAGCTGTCATTTCCTTTTCCATTTTTGAGAGAGACATAACTAAATTGCCCCCCTCCCCATTGGCCACCTGACTATACACATGGACATACATTCACACAGACGTACACAATACCCAGCTGTAACAGTGTGTGCATCTTTTCAGTGAGGGTCAGAATCTTTCATAGCCTCCTGTAACTCTCCTTTATGTATGTAACCTTCAGCTTCCTTGCAGTGCTGGGCCAATATCTCCTTTTGGACTGTGAGCTCCTTGTGGGCAGGGACCGTGGCTGCAAATGATTGACATCACTGCAAATAATTGGCTCTCAATAAATATTTAGCAAAAAATAATCATGTGTTTGTTGTGTTGTATTATGACAGGGAAAGGCGTGGACAGGGGCTGGGTCTTCCTTGAAGGGAATTTTGTTTCCATGATCCTAAGAAGAGGTGTGTCNGTGGACTCATTCCAGGCAGATTTGGGGCAGATGCACTGAATGTTCATGGAGGTTCTACCTGGTACTCCATGTTGGGTTGAGGAGGAAGTGAATACAGAGAAGACAGGTGAATGCCTGGACTTTGAAGTATTTCTGTTGGAGAAGTGTTTCTTCTCCAGGACTGGGTTATGGGAGGAGCAAGAAATACCTGTTTCAAGGCTGAAGATAGGAGAAGTGAAAGAGCAGTCTGATGCAGCTTCTCAAATTACATGAACCAAGTTGTGGTACTACTATGTGCCCTAATAGGCAGCTCTCACCACATACCACTTCTTGTGTGAATTCTTTAACACCTGATCTAGTTTATATGAGTCGCTGAACACACAGTTGGATGTTGCAGCAAGGTCAGATTGCTACAAAAGTTTCTGCATGCTTACTCTCAGTTTTTGTCCTTGTCTCTTTGTAACAGTTAGACTAGTTCTGGGCCATGGACCACATCTTGAGTAGCACTAGTCTAGCGAGGA